TGTGGGTCCAGCTGCTGCCAGCCTTGCTGCCGTCCCAGTTGCTGCGGCACACCCTGCTGCCAGCCAGTTTGCTGTTGTCCCGTGTACGTCCAGAGAACCTGCTACCACCCCACATGCTGCTGCGTGCCTGGCTGCATAGCGTATGGCGGGTCCAGCTGCTGCCAGCCTTGCTGCTGCTGATCACCTCGCCAGAGAAGCACCGTCTGCACAAACACCTCTGTGAACTGACTTGCCATTATGGAAACTAATGAACCTTCTAGACTGCTGAGAACCAGCACGCTGGACCACAAGTTCTGTGACTCATCGGCCTGTTTTACAGCTTGTGAGTCTGCTCGACAGAGTGCGGAGTGTGTCACCCTGATTCTTTTCTTCTTTGTGTCTCATGGATCATGTGCCAGTTTCGTGCTTCTTCAATATGGAGCGTTGGTCTCTGCTTTGACTCTGAAATCAACACCTTTACCTGCTCCCTCTGAGTAACGCAGGAAAACAAATTCTCACAGCTCCTGGGTTTCTGCTTCTGATCTTGATAATAGTCTTCATAATCATGTTTCTTTTTCAATGTACTCATGGTCTTGTATCCTGCTTTCTTATTTTCATGATCACTTTTGAGTTGTCTCTATAGATGCAAGAATTCTAACCTACATTTCGTAATAAATCTTGTACCATTAGTCATCTTAAGTTGTGTTCTGTTTTATTGTGGAGCATTCCTGATATAGGGACATACACTTATTGCATACCACATGCACTTCCACTCTGAGCCTCATGCCAGCATCCCTCAAGTTATATGCTACTGTTCTTCAGATGAGAAAATGTCACTGTGTAATGTAGCTAAATATGGACTGAGAGCGGCGACCAGGCCTTCTGCTCCTCTCAAGAGCACTGCCATCTACATATCAAGACAAGCAGAGATGAAACTGGGACTGAGCACCAGCAAGATGTGCATTTGAACTTCTTCCTTGACACTGGGAAGAACAGTCTCTTGCATGTGCAGATAGCATTTGTGTTCATACAGTTCCTCCCTAAGCAGTGTCCCAAGGTTCTCCAGCCCCAGCTGCCTCAGTGAAGAGAGCAGTGAGCTTCCTAGGGGAGCAGCAACTGCATTGGAGAGCACTCATGAAAGCAGGGACACTTCCTTTGTCTCGGGCTCTGGCCAGCCCCGCATGCAATTCATCTGCACCCAATAATTTGAGCATCACTTGTGTCCTCACGAGAAAGAGGCTCATTTACTGGGACCTGTTCTTTGGTATGCTGTAAATCAAACTCTTGTATGGCCTCCTTCTGCTGAGTACCTATTTTAGACAAAAAGGAATTAAGCAGTTCCCTGCAAAACACTGACTCTATGCTGTGATCCCCGACTTTAAGCCAGCTGGCTTCAGTGTGCTGCGGTCAGCTTTTAGGAGGGATGTTACCATATTAAAGGCTGGGCAACAGTCTGCAGCTGACAAACAGCACATTTAGCAGAGGCAGCCTTGGGGAGAGACAGCTCACGCTGTCGGGTCCACACAAAGCCTGTGTCCCTGCCACCATGCTGTCCTGTGCAGGCACAGGGGCACCTGAGGAGAGAGACGAGATGGGGTGAGTTATCCCAAACTCCTGGCTATCCAGTGACTCATATAGGGTGGATGGTCTCTGGGGGGCATTGATGTGGGACACAAAGAGAAAGCAATTTCTGTCCCACTCACCAAGTTATATCTACGTGATTCTTCTCCAATTCTCTGTGTCTCTAATCTTTCAGTCTTGCTCCTTCCAGGTCTCAGGCCAATCAGCCAAGGTTTTCACCACATGCCAACAGCCCATGAACATAATTTCCTCGCCTACTTCTCGTCCAAACAAAATTTATAACCATGTGTACTGCTCACAGCTCTTTTCACTAGGAGTATTTCCACGTGCCACCGCCTCGTCAGACCAGAAGTTGTTGATCTATTTTAGTGAAAATTCTGGGTCGGCCGAGTGGCACATTGGTTAAGAGCTGGCTTGGAACACCAGCTCTGAGCAGCAGGGCACCGGTTCACATCCCACATTAGGGCCAGTGACACTGCCCTCTACAGCTAAGATGCTGAACAACAGCTCAACTTGGAGCTGGGCTGCCGTGAGTCGCTGGCGAGGGCATAGGCTGCAGTAGGGCTGCAGTGGGCTGCCATAAGCTACAGTGAGTGGCTGGCAGACAGTGTGTGTGGCCAGCAGCCGGCGTGAGCTGCCAAGAGCCGCTGTGAGCGGCCGTCCAGAGGCCGGCAACCGATTTGCCTCAGCTGGGAAGAGTGCAATGATAATACCAACATGGGCCAGTGAAGCGACGTCCTCCAAAACTAGACTGAAGAATAAAAAGACAACTTGTCGGTTCCCCTTCCCTGATTCCCCAACGCTGTTCCCTCCCCCCAATTCCCCAATAAAATCTTTAAAAAAAAAAAGAAAAAGAAAAAAGAAAATTCTGTATGTGGCATCATAGCTGCTATTGGGGCTATCAACTGATAAAAATTTAAGGCACTTCACAATCATATATTCCATTAGGTTTCTGCAGGAATAAATGGGATTGTAAACAAATCATGTATTCTTTAGTCATTTAGGTTAGCACTAAAACTGTGAATGTGCCATAGCTTCTCATTAGTACCTTGGTCTGGAGGTTTAATTTGTAAATTTGAGGTATAGCTTATGTTAAGTCAGAGATACAGGTGTAAATAAAAGAGGAAAATCCCAATTACTGAGCCAAAAACAAAAGGCAAATAAAGTATTCTGTACTACTAAGGATTGTGAATAAAATTTGTTTCTGTGATATCCCTTGAAAATATAGGAATTGTGATCTCTTAAAGAAGGCATCTGCCTACAGACTGGCTGATACAGTAAGAAGGAAAAAAGAGAAAGAAATAGTTCCAGGTTAATCCTTGGGTACACATACTATTTAAGATGGAAGTGGGGAAGAGAAACATACACAAGGAGAATGACACCATACATGAGCAACATTCACGAGGGTGCATAAATAGATCCTGTATTTCCCCCAAACACACAGCTAGTGAGTAGCAGAAGAGGCATTTAAATACTCTTCCATCTGATTCTAATTCCCATAACCAAGACCCATAATCGTCTTCTCTTCCACAACAGAGAACTGACAGTTGAAGGTCAAGCTGGAGATGAACAGATGCACAATCTTTGAGGGAGCTCGGTACAGAAAATGGATAACGAAAACTAGAAGCATTTTATAAAACTGGCACACACACAAGTAGGCTCTATAATGGGGTGAGAGTGGGAGCTGGAAGAGCTATAGAAGTTTTCCCCATGTTTTTTCTAGAAGTTTTGTAGTTTTAGGCTTTACCTCCAGATCTATGAGCCCTTTTGAGTTGGTTTTGTAGAAGATGTGAAGTATGGGTCGAAGTTCTTTTTTTTCTTTTTTCTTTTTTGTGCACATGGATATTTAACTGTTCCAGCACCATTTGTTCAAAATACTACACTATCTCTGTGTATTAATTTGACACCTTTTTAAAGTATCAGTGCATAATATATGTGTGAATCTATTTCTGGACATTCAGTTTTGTTCCATTCATCTACGTGTATGTTTTTATCATTTCACCAATGCCCCCACAAAACAACTTTAATTTTGAAACTGGGTGATATTTTGCTGTTCATGCAATTTCATGCAAGTTATTTGTCTCCTTCAGTACTGATTTCCTCAGCTCTAATATGGGGGTAATACCCACTTTTCAGGATTGTATGAGAATGAGAGGTAATTTAGATAAGGCATCTAGCTCAATACCCAGCATACAGTAGGACCTCAATAAATGTTAGTGATTCTTCCCATCCATTGTCCTTGGTGAAACGTTTAGTAACCTGGCAGAGAATTCCAGATACATCCTCTAGAAAGATCACACTTTCTGTCACATCCAGTGTGTTAACTAACCCAAAGCACCTTTACATCTCTTAAGAAGGTGGCCATAATAAAAATTTCTTTTTTTTATTAAATTATTTTTTATTATGAAATACACATTTTTAGAATTAGTTTCAGCTGTACAACAGAGTGCAATAGTTATACTTTTTACCCCTCAAAGTGACAACCCCTCTCCCCCAATCTGCCACCCCATTTCCCCCCAATATCATACATATCTATTACAAATCCTTTGACTCCACTCCCACACTATACTCCACGTCCCATGACAATATATATATATTCACTTATAGTTGACATACAAAAAATTTCTTATTTTTCTCCCAGGTTGTATTAGCCCTTGACTACTGGGTATTCTAGTTGTTCATTTTATTATTCAGTTTTACATCCAAAGATCAAGGTTCCCCCCACTTGAGAACTAACCTAACGCCCATCTTGACTTTGAACAGTGCATCCTTCCTTCTTGTTTTCTTCTTCTTACTTTTTTTCTCCTGTTTCCTGAAAACTCTGATTTTGATTTCCTTAGCTTATGTGTCCGTATCTCGTAGAACACGAGAAGGAAGTTGTACTGTTGCCTTTTACAGACTAGAAATTATGATTGGATCCAAGGGTTATATATTCATTGTGTGGTTATCTCAATTCTCAGGACTCTAGAAATTCATCTTTCCTTGACAATGCCCAGGTCAGGATATCAAAAATTCCCTCAAAGTTTGGGAGCCTGGAAAACATGGCCCGAGTTCGTGTGTTTTGTTAGGGTGATTCTTAATCCCAGTTTCTGCTGAGGTGAAAGAAATGATGCCAAAATACCAATTCTATGACAATAAAGAACTGGCTCCTCTAGGCACAGGGAGGGCTGGGAACAACAGCCACACTTGCGTTACTTTCTGATCACAGAGTGCACCAGTTGCGGGTCGGAACCCAGAGATTTCAGGGCTCCCTTCACTGACTAAAACCCTTAAAGGTGGTTTCTATTGGTCACAGAGTGAGAATATTTGGGAAGAGCTTTTTAGACAGAAAAGGGTTCTGAATATGAAAGGTAAAATTATTTCCATTGTTAGAGAAGTAACTCAAAAAATACCTCCCCTGTGCCCAGTCACCAGTGTTATTTCTACTTATAGAGAGATGTAAATTAAAATGCCCTTGACCTGGAATTACAGGACATATGTGTGCATAGGACATGCTTCTGTCAATTACATATGGCAAATCATTTTCTGGTCACTAAAATGAGAATGATAATGCAATGATAACCTTTGTTCTGCCTAACTTGTGAGGCTCGAATGAGCTAAAACATAAAATGCAACCCAAA